ATTTTATTGTCTCAAAAGTTTGAAACCAAAGCTTGAAAAGTTGAAAATTAATTCGAAATTTATAAAATTATTGAAAATACTAAAAAAAACAAGACCAAAAAACTGGAATTGGTTAGTTGAAAAGATTATGGCATCAAAAGTTGAGAAATAAAATGAATTGAAATTATTACCTATCCGAATTATTTGATTTTGCTATCTTCATCATAAAATGTTTATTATACCATTTATTTGATATCAATTGAAATACTTTTTCATACTATGTAAGTCGACAGAAGATTCTCCGAGAAACATTGTTACCAACAGTCAAACAAACGTTTTGTATGGAAGTTATGAATGGAAAAATATTTTCAGAATTGTCAAAATTTACTGAGTTGGGATTATACATATTCATCCCTTTTTCTATACGGATTTTGTATTTTCGTATCTATTCTGAGTAAGCTATTTCTAAGTGAAACACATAATGCGGTTTTGTAAACTATTCACTAGAATTAACACGATGAAGTATTACTTGAAAAAAAAGTTTTCTTTATATTAAATAATATTTCAAACGGAATCTGACTTCGAGGTAGAGGTAGGATTGAAAATTTGGGTCAGAAAACTTCAATACTTTGTTTTCATTTCAAGTATCTAAGATGTGATTTTCTTCCGTTAGATATGAAAAATTGAGAGTGACAAGTTTCAAACTGAAGTTGACAACATATTTCTCGGATCAACGACAGTGAACGAATATTTTTATTCTATGTTGCCACATTAAAAATGTGCACCGATAGAAAATGTAATAGTTCAGATATTTTTCCACATAAAGGTACTAAGAAATATTTTATGTAGTTGAATAGACGAACAATTTTGTGAAGTGGGCCACTTCTTAAGATTGGATATGAGAAATTTCTCCGAGTTTAATTGGAGAAACCGTACTGAAATGCATATAGGTATCAGAATATTTGCATTTTTCCTAACAACTAACCACAAGCTATATGGAGACAAGTGAATGTGATAAAACGTAACAATCATCGGGAACGGTACAAAGGTCAAAAAAATGAACAGAGACTTCTTAGTTTTTCCATAAATTGAATTGTTATTTCAAGATGGTAGATGCATCGTCCGGTGAAATACCATCGCAATGGCTTAGGCAGTGCGAAGTTGCATTTGGGCTAACGTTCCGTGAAATGAGTGAAATAGTGAAATAGCTCCCCAATCGGATCTCCGGGTGGGGTCCTATTCAAGAGCATCATCCTACAGAAGTCATTCGAAAACCAATATTTCTGACAGTCAGCAGGGTTTTCCTAACATCAGTCCACAGGGAAATATGATGGTAACTGCAGTTGCTAGGAGGCCCACTATCAACTTAAAAAATTGATTTCTGCAACATCAGACTCAACTCGAATATAAACTCAGTGCACCAAATAGTCCTCATATTCTTGCACTCACAGAGTCCAAAGCCAGTGCTTCAATAAACCCCGTCAACTTTGGAATACCTCTTTTTATCAGAAGCGATCTCTTCTGTCAACGAAGGGAAATGCTGGAACCCCGAAATTTTAATGTTATGTGGTTAAAAATAATATCACAGATCTCTATATTCATAAGCTGGGTTTGTCAATACACAATATAGGGCACTATTCTCTTCACTTGCAAACACCATTGACTTTCTGCAAATTATTCATCTCAGTGCCGAAATCTCCATATTCGGTGACTTAACAATATAGAGTAGCTCAAGTTTTCAAATATCAACGACGAATAAGGTGGCGAAGCTGAGTCTTTTGCAATAAGCAGTGGACTTACTCAGATTATACATGAGCCAACCAGGATTCCTGACCGTGATGGAGAATATGCTAGTCTTCTGGATCTTAACCTAACAACCAATCGTGTTAGGAATAACACGTTGAAAGGTAAGACCTCGTTAGTCCTTAGCTCGCACAAGTTTCTCAACTTCTGAGAGTTGTAGTTCGTATGGAGAGACAGCTGATTAACGGAAAAACAGATTTTAAACAGATTTTTTTTAATTTACACAGTCACCGAAATATTTTCATTGGGATCTTCTGACCAGAAACTTATTTTAGTGTTGAGTGAATTACAGATAAATTTTGGGGAGAAATATGAAATATGGCACATCAGCTGAAAGGGAGGATCTTCAAAACAATTTCCAAAATTTCCCCTGACTAGATATTTGTTTCAGCTCTGAAGATCCATCAACTTGTGCTTCTGAAATCACGAAAGTTATTCTACCATCAATGGATGCATATATTCCTTTTTCAATGAAACGACCTTCTAACGGCGAACCTTGGTCCAACAAAAATTGCGAGCAAGCTGTCGTCTTCAAAAATCTCGCCTACCGGTAGTTGCGCAAAAATACCAGTGCCGAAAACTGAACTAGGTTTAATAACGCTAGCAACAGCTGCAAACTTAGGATAAATGAGAGCGAAAAACTTCACAATCAGAGAATTAGGGATGATCTGCTTGCCAATCCCAATGGGTCTAGATCCTTCTTGTCGGTAGCTAAAGCTGTTAATCAGAACTTTATAAAATCCACAATTCCACCACTAACATATAAGCAGATGGTTCAATTACAACAATGCCGGAAATTACTTTCCGACAGCGTCTAGTCAGGCGAATTTTGAAACAGCTCAGTATCAACAAGGCGATGTAGTGCCCGTCATCATACCTAAAAAGTACGCAATTGAACTCGCACCAGTATTTTGCAGACTTTTCAACCTGTCTACAAGATATAGATTTTTCTTTCTTGTTGGAAGATTGCTCGCGTTCAGCCTATTTCCAAAAAGGGTAAGAAAAATCTTCCAAATAACTATAGACCAGTCGCTTTGCTATCAGTAATATAAAAAATTATGGAAAAAGAAGTAAAACACCATATCCTCAAATATTTGGAAGGCTTCAACATCTTGAGCGATCATCAATATGGCTTTAGGAAACAAAGATCGACAGGCGACCTCCTATCGTTTGTCACCCATATTTGGAATAACGCAATCGAGAAACATGGAGAGTTGAGAATTGTTGCGCTTGATATTTCTGAGATCTATGACCGTGTGTGGCTTGAGGGTTTGCTGGCCAAACTTTGATGCCATGACTTGTCGGATCATTTTTGTGTATGGCTCTTCAGCTTCCTGAAAAAATGTTCCCTGCAAGTGGCCGTCAATGGATATCTTTCAAATACGTATACCATCAACGACGTATTAAAAAAAAACAAAAATCCAATATATTGCTTTGCTGACGACGGCACACTTGTCTCCTCATTCCATTTGGATTCCAGGACATCGGCTACAGAGGCACATCTTCACCGGCAGCGAAGGGTTGCGTATCTTGATGAGGATCTAGAAGTGATTTCGAATTGGGGTGAAAGTAGCCACGTTCAATTCAATGCCACAAAACCCCAATCATAAGTTTTTACCAAGAAGATAAATGTTTCCGAACCGGATATAATAATGTCAGGCCAGACAATCCCGCTTTCTACTTCGATAAGTTTGTTGGGTGTTAGAATGGATACCAATATGTCTTGGCACAATGATGTCGCTGGAATTGCAAGAGCTACTTCTCTAAATTTTGGAACACTGTTCCGAACCAGAAAACTGTACGCACCTCAGCAACTTTCGATGCTTCATAAATCTCAGATCATACCTTCTTTGAAGTATTGTTCTCATGTAGAGCTCTGCCCCCAAACATATTCATGGTTCGTGATTTGTATACGGAAGATAAATCTT